GGGAACAGAAGAGCGATTCACAGATATAAAAGAGGGAGGCAGACATAAAGGTAGGGAAACAGGTAAGATGAGTACTGTGGAAATGATCGAATATGACATGGAGTCAGGTCATGGTATTTTGAAGTCAGAAGTCAAATGCCGGTTAATAGACTTTTTGCCGTATGAGTATACGTTGCCCAGGGTGCCCCGCGTGGAGGTAAGTCTATCGCACACCCCTTAAACTGAATTTAATGAAGCGTCTTGCTAGTAGCATATGGGCCGTGCACGCTCAACCCTAAACACCACTTACAAGATGTTTGTTCAACTAATATTGTTGTATTGTTGTGAGCCACTCATTACAGGCACAGAGGTGACTCTCAAACCACTCGAGAAGACATACAACCAAGCATTATGACTAATTACTGGAGGGATAAAATCAACGCCCACTGTTGCAATGCTCCTGGTTACAGGGAACACCACAATGCGTTCCTTTATCAAAGAGAAAGCCTTGACACTGTATGAGAAGATACTGCGCATTTCCAGGGACATGTTCTTCAGCACCTACGAACATAGGCCAAGACACCTAAAAACTTAATCTGGCCTTAAAAAGAAAGCTATAGAAATGAAGAAAGCATTACAAATAGCCTGCAAACCAAAAAGCCTCTCTCTAGCCCAAAACCCATTAACAGACACTGACCTACAATTTGGCAGCCAACTGCTTATATATATGTTCCCTCTCCCCTCTTGTGAAGGCCGAAGTCAGCTAAGGGGGTAATGATAAATAGCATAAAGCCTGCCATTTGATGTAAGTAAATATTAAATTCGTATCTTTTTATTTCAATGCAATGCATATTCGAAAAGTTAAGTTGAACTCATGACTCCGACTTTCGGGTCAATTTTGAATGAAGCATGCTCTTTCTTCCATAGGGCAATCGATTGTCACTTTTTCAAATAATTTATAACCTTAACACTGGAACCTCATGATACGCCAAAAGGAAACAATCGAATTCCCACATGCTGTTGGCGTAGCTTTAAAGAGCGAATGAAAGGCATAGTAAATTTCAGCAAGATTAATTACGAACTAAACATATTAATATCCCTGCAAATTCAGATTTTTCTATTTAGCTCGAGGGATTTATATAAATTGGCAATAAAAACTAATCATTCGGACTGTGTTTCTATTTACTATTAATAAGATGTCAAAAACTAGATACTGTTCTCAAATCTGCTCATGAAACAATTCACCTTTCTGACATGTGCAGAACATTTTAAAATTTACTTTCTGCCAGTACGGGGTGTGCGATGGACTTACCTCCACGTGGTGCACCCTGGGCAACGTATACTCATACGGCAAAAAAGTTTATTAACTGGCAGTTGACTTCTCACTTCAAATTACCATCACCCCACTCTATGTCATATTTGACTACTTCCACAGTAATCACCTCACCTTTTTTCTACCTTTGTGTCTGTCTTTTTCACATCTTTAAAACACTCTTATGTCCCCCCTTTCTCGACATTTTTTTCACTTTGACGTTTCTTGCCTCCGGTGAAGACAGAAGTCAACTAAAGGGCTAATGATAACTATCAAAACGCCTGCCATTTGATATAAATAAACTTTCTGCCAGTACAGTTTATTCTAACACTGAGACAGGTAAACTATTAAAAAACAAATTAAGGATAAGCAAGTCTTTTCAAACGATATTTAACACAAAATGGAACAAGTTAATATAAATTCTACTGGTATCATCAAAATCCCCTTTTGCACTTATAACTTACGTGGATTCACATTCAGTAGGTGCTATTTGGAAAAAGATGGTTTAAAGATACCGCAGTTAAAAACCATTTATTTGCATCAAAAGGACCATTAGAATACCATACAGAGGCGGAATCATTCACTCGTCAAATTTTAGCCATTCTGATTTCATTAAAATGGCCAGTATTCGTTTATTATTCGCTCTTGCAGCTATTTCAATAGGTGTCAAGTGAGTCACTGCCGTATTGGTATTGACGTTAGCTCCTAAATTAAAATTTATAATCGTTTTATCCAAGAAATATATAAATTGCGATTTCACCTTTAATAACTATAAGTATTTTAGATTTGATAAAGAGTGTTAAATGCCAAGACGTTGGGCTACGTAATTTGGGTTAACTTATTCAAGTTGCCTAGTCCTGTGCTATTGTTAAGTTCTGACAAATTTGGTAAGTTAACCAATGTATAATAATTGGCGTGCGCATATTATTTATCATTTCTGACGATAACCACAAATAGATTCTGATCGGTCAATAAAAAGGTGGACTGTTTAATTGCTTCACAATGTATAGAAGCTCAACTGTAGGAATAAAGGCTCTTTCATAAAATAATTGAGCTATAAAGCCTCCAGGCATTTCTAGCACATCCACTTCTACTGTCCCTAAAATTCCACTCAATTTCCGGTTGCTGCTTTCTCCTCTCTGTTACCTTCCACTGCAATCCTGATCCAGGCAGATAACGATGACATGAGGCTGCTCTCATCAGAGGTAAAGCAATGTATTGGAGTTCCCTGTCTCCGAGCCTGTCGTGCTCAAGCGAGATTCTGTCCACACGCCTTGTCCACTTGTCAGCTAGACAATTCGAATGCGCACATAAATGTTGGTGTAGCCCTGTCCCCCACCCCAACCAGCTCCCAATTGTCCGCCATGATCGAGTCTTCAAAGTGTATCTGTCAGTGCAGTTACCTTTAAATTAAACCAAGCTGTCAACATTGAGAGCTTGTAAATGTAAGCACCCCCATCCCTCCATTTTCTCACTACTTAACAATGACACCTCAATGAGTTCCTCCTCTCCATAATCTTGTTGCCACAGTGAAGAGCAGTGGAAGATAAAAAAGTGTAGCCAACAATATAGATACCGATCGAAATTAAATACCTAGCTGTTGGATCATCGTTCAAAAGTGGGCCATCCTGAGAGGATCTGAGCACATAGCTTTCTCGCCTGATTTTTATAATTTTTCGATCTGAGGGGATTGAAATTGAACAAAAAAGGCGATAATAGTGTGGCAAGCTACGAATTTCTGCTTACCATGGGAAACTAAATATTTGACAATCTCGACATCACCCTCTGCAGTTGCGTACATTAGGGCACTATAGCCATCTTCAACGACCGCATTGAGATCAACTCCATATTTGTGCAAAGTTTTGACGATTTGCACATTTTTGCGAGAAATTGCTATAAAAATCGTCGGAACCTTCGCGATCATACAGTAGTTGACGTCAGCACCAGCGAAGAGTAATGCTTCGATAACTTCGTTGGAGGAATCCAATAAAGCAAGTGAATACGTCGCATTCAATTCTTCCTGTCTGTTGATGTCCACATTGGCTCGACCTGTAAGAACTTTCACAATTTCCGAGTGATTCTACATTAGGGAGTAGTAAGAAATTTAGACAATTAACGGGGGGGGGGGGTGGATAGAGCACTTACATTCAGAGCAGCCAGAGAAAGTTCAGATTCCTTATTTTTGTTCAATTTGTAGGCCATGTTTACTCCATTGTCAAGGAGGTGATTGACAATGTGAATATGGCCCTCTGCGGCAGCTAACATTAATGGAGTATGATAAAGTTTATTTCCGACATTTGCAAGGCATCTCTTTTCCATAAGGAGTCGAACACATTCTAATTGACCACATTCAGCAGCTAAATGAATTGCAAAGTTGCCATCGCTGTCACTAGCATTGATAGATGCACCTTGAGATAGAAGGATGCGTAGAATCTCGGAGAAGCCTAGGGAAGCTGCTATCATGAGTACCGTTCGACTGCCGTTACTCATTCTTGAATTTGCATCAGCCTTTGAGAAAAATGATAAAGCATTTTCATATAATTTGCACAGTGTAGTTACTCGTAAGACGGAAAGTGTATTTGCTAAACAACTGAACAAAAGGCGCATCCTTTTTATCGAGTATTGATTCCCTATTTTACTGTCTACCTTCGTTAGGACTCACGATTCGATGCAATGGTAGTATTTTAGTGGTAGTAGTGCTGCCCTCTACGCCACATAATCTTGGCAAAAACACTTTCCCAGTGGGTGGATGAATGTCAATTTTACCCCCACAGTAACGGAATAAAGCAAACTATTTGTGGATAACTGTAATTAGTAATTGTTAAGTGTATCTTTAACACTCTTCGTGTGTCGGATTATTTTTTACTATTACTTCATGATTCAAAATTCAGTAATTCTTCAACTCCAAATCATTCAGAAATAAGGTCCGATATCGTAAAATAAAACAGAGATAAGTGATAAACATTCGAATAATTCCATGAAAATGGGTGAGCACAAAATCAGCTTTGTTCTGAAAAAAAGCGATCTGAACCAAAAAAAATCAATAAGAAGACCGGAAGACCGGAAGATCGCATTGTATTAGCCTTCCTATTTAAAAACTAATACGCCTTAATTACGCCTGAAATGCTCAAACTTCAGGAAAAGTTCAAAAAGGCCCTTAATCCTTCACCTAACTCCCAAAGCTCATAGACTCAACTTCGGAAGAGATTCGGCAATGGGCAATAATCGGCGCATGACGACAAGTTAACAAAGAACCACAAAGGATATATTTTCGAAAATTGGTCAAATGTTGTGAATGAGTAGGTGTTCTTGTGGCAATGAGGCAAATTTAGTCCCTCCTTGGGAATAATAGGACTCAAAAGGTAAACTTCTGATCGCAAATTAATGTTGATGGGACAGCCGATGTTGCTGTAAGTAGTAACAAGAGCGAAGAAAGTTTCCATTCAATTCTATTGGTAGTAGACTGATAAAGCTGACATATGATTACTGCAGTACAGTTTCATTACGGTAAACGGAGCTATGCCGTAAATAAGTAGAAACCCTAACAACAACTCCCCACTTCTCCCACCCCCATAAATCACAAATGTCTTAGCACCACCCTAATATTAATGCCCTAAAACTATGTACCCGTTTGTCTCAATGCTGGACATATAAGGTTAGAAAGGCACATTTTAAATTCTAATCCAAGCAGTGTTTATATTAAACAAATGAACGGCTACTGAAATGTGATTAGGTTCGTCAAACTATGACATTGACAAGATGTAACTCAGTTATCATTTACAAAAATTGTTTTTGAACTTACGCCACGCATCAGACAAATTCTCACTTCAGCAACATTATTTGCTTTTACGGCAGCAATCAATTGATTGTTCATATTCAATTTTAGGAGATTTGGGTGTGCAGTCTGAGTATATTTGAATTAAAAAAAAACAGACTAAAGTCATTATTAACGTCACAATTCCAGTCATATTTGTTGAGATAATATTAGAATTTTGTTAGAAGCTGGTTATTTTAAGGAAAAGCTTGCAACTGAATTGTCAAAGAAGCCTTACACGATATCTTTGATGCTCGAACATGATCGTTGAGGTCCACTCCCAAGGCGGCGGTGAATGATATTTGATTGATATTACTAAATTACGCTCATTGATATTTTTTAAAATTTAATTCAATTGCAAAACAAATTATTTTTAATTTGGCAGAATGTTTTGTTTTAGTAAATGTTCGATATCGACGCAAAGACAGTTCTACTCAGCAAATGTCACCAAAGTGAGCGAATATGAGGTGGCTGTTGATGGAGGAAAAGGAGTAAAAATTGTGCTACACCACCAGCGGTTTCGTCTCCAGGAAGTTAGGAGCAACGATTTCTCTCCAACCCCATTCGCCAGTTTACAAGACATAAAGATTTCGAATTACTAATAGTTACAATTACACAATGATTTTAAGAGAATTTATTATTATTTCTGTTTTAATCAGGACGTCTTCGTAACTTAAAAAATGAATCTTACTATGGCAGACAATGTCGGTTAGCTCTTCAAATGCAATTTTAAATTATATACAATGTAAACAAGATTTATCAAATTTTGTAATATTAAGCTAGACGAGGCCGGATAGGACAATTTGGTTCCCCCGGTTAAATGCGATTGAAAATTTAAATCAGATGTTCGGAAAGAAGCCTGTCATTCGCATAGCTTACCTTGGATTAGTCTGGGGCTCAGTGGTCTAGGGGTATGATTCTCGCTTTGGGTGCGAGTGGTCCCGGATTCATATCCCGGCTGAACCCACGGAAATGCCTGTGGGGTGTGCGATAGACTTACCTTCACGTGGTGCACCCTGGGCAACGTATACCCATACGTCAAAAAATCTATTAACCGGCAGTTGACTTCTGTCTTTAAACTACCATCACCTCACTGTATGTCATATTCCACAACTTTCACAGTACTCACCGCACATTTTCTCTGCCTTTGTGTCTGTCTCTTTTACATCTTTGAAACACTCTTCTGTCCCCCCCCCCCATCTCGACCTTTTTCACTTTGATGTTCCTTCCCATTTGTGAAGCCTGAAGTCAACTAAAGGGCTAATGATAACTATCAAAACGCCCGCCATCTGATATAAATAAATACCTTGGATTAGTCTCAGAGGCTATCAGTGTTTGAACCTAACTTTCGTGCAAGGCAAGTCGTATTAGTACAGCAATCCTCCAAACTTATATGAATAATTGGAGTCTTTGATAAATTTTGTGGTGGATTTAGTTTCCAAATAAAACCACAAAATCCATTTGAAAGATAGCAATTTTGAAAATTATAGTTTAATCCTGGAACATTAGAGTACGTTGTTACGTTATTTGGTGGAAAACTCCCAGCAGGGAAATACTTATCCAATTTTCACTTGTTACTAGGTAGTAGAAGTTCGAATTATTTCAAATTTATCACATCTGAAACGCGCAGAGAGGGCAATAGTTATGAATGTTCTAGCGCAAACGTAGGTCTATCCAGACTGGATGTCAAACGATTTATGCAAAATTACAAAATCCACAGCTATTAGAAATGCCAGCAAAATAATTCGTTTCATAAAAATATAGGAAATCTCTTTTAGAGAAGCATTATTATGACGCTGGATAAGTGAAATAACATATTATGATAGGCGTTTGACTTTCCCTAATTATTAGATGAAGTCGTCATAAAATAATATAAAATTTGGTATAGTTTTGTGTTAAAAATTCAAGTGTGCTATTCCAATTTAAAAAATAATCGAATAGTGACAGTTTTCATTATGTCCGCAAACCGCAAGTAAATCACTTATATGAAATTTGTTAAGATATTTTAATCAAAAACCGATCCACATATAATTTTCAAATTTATATAATATTGTCGTGACAAATCAAATTCTAGTAAACAAAAATCTAGTTTTTAATAAGTTTTTTTCATTTAAAGCAAATATTTGCCACTATGATCCCACTTTGTTAATCTCTCGCGATAATTCTTATTTTCTCACCCTAGGTCAATTTTGTATCTTCCGTTAATGTCTACATGAGGGTGGATGGATTCTCATAGTTCTTCTTGTTCTCACGATTCCGAAAGCTTTATTCCTTCATCAAATTTTGAACCACCCCCTCCAGTTGATTGTATTTTACAAAAGTCTCATTCCATTGATGGCGTCGCAGATAAAAATGAACCTGTAATTTTTTATACCATAGTCTTTTTTATTTTCACTAGGATACCAATTTTCGTAGATCACAATATGCCACACAACCAGATGGTACTTTCCTGTTAGTTTATATTACTTTCAATATAGAGTTTGCGGACGTTCCCTTCCATTCAGCTAATCCACTGGATAGTAATTTTTCTCCCTTAAATGGTGATGTATCTTCCCATGATACATTTGGTTCTGCCAAGTGTTTTGTAAATCCTCATTCACCTTTTCATGGCAACGTATGTCGGTTTACTAATTCTATTTTAGTTTGATTAGGCGATCTATGAGAGTCAAAATTCTACATTTCCGCCTGCCCACTTGGTCTCTTCCAGTAAAATATTAGAAATTTCCGAGAATATTGACCCTAAAAGGTTAGATCAGCTGCAGAAGCTCTTATATCCTGCTCTTAGTTCTCGTGCGTCAGTTCCGTCTACGAACCCTACTAAAGGTAGCTATTTTTGTGATCTACTTTTTACTTTACCCCTTTTAATGAAGTTTCAACATTTTAATCATTGGAATGGTTTCATTTGTTCAAGCGAATCTTCTCGAGTTTCAATCGCAAGTTAACACCGAATTCAGTTCTCTTGAGTCATTACGTTCAATTCCACATGTGACGGACACTACTTCTACTCGAACAACAGGATCTAGCTCTGATTTATTCAAGACGGATTCTTCTTCTGGATTTAGAGAGCCATTGGTTCCACCTCGTCGCAGGAATGTCGCCTCGACTTCTACAAATACTTCTAATGAGGAAAATGATAATTCGCCTTTACTTTCTTTCGTCCTCTCTCTTACCATTCAACTAATTCCTAAACAAATTGCTCAAACTGAAGAGTTAGAATTCAAAGCTTCCGATTTCGCTAAAACAATCACTTGGCAGGTTAGTAAGCTGTTACTTCAGAGATATTTTAACTGTTGCTTATTGCTAGCCACCCATTCCTTCGAAATAATCGACGTTGAAATCTATCTTCATAACCTTTATACCTATCAATAATGGTTTGGAAATACACATTCCAATCACAATTACGATTTCTGCAGTTTCATTTTCGACAGTCAATTACTCATTCATTACGCTTATTAATTAGTCAACATCAGCTAGATCGTCCACTATTGTTCTATCATTATCACTATATGATGAAAATTATACTATATGGGACTCTTATAACTAATAAGTTTTTAAGTTTCTTTACGAAAGCTCTTACTATCAACATTGAGCAGATGATAGCACCTGTGAGCATTCGACCCAAGACTTCATACCTTGCAGGCGAGTCCACGATTGTTACCATGCCGTATTTGTACGATTATTTATGTCAAATGGCAGGCTTTATGATAGTTTTGACTAGCTCTTTAGTTGACTCCGGGCTTCATGAGGGGAAGGACATCAAAATCACAAAATGTCGAGGGTGAACAGAAGAGTGATTTACAGATGTAAAAGAGACAGACAGACACAAAGGTAGAGAAAAAGGTAAGGTGGGCACTGTGAAATTATTCGAATATGAAATGCAGTGAGGTAAGGTGGGCACTGTGAAGTCAACTGCAGATTTGAAGACTTCTTTGTGCGTATGAGTATACGTTGACCTGTATGCACCACTTGGAGGTAAGTCTACCGTACACCCCATTTTTACGATTACAGATTTTCTTAAAAGTAATATTTCTTGTCGAGATTGTAGAATAACACTTGGTTTATCTTGGCACTGCTTATTATCTTGTCGATTCGCCGGCGGGTAAATACCGATTAGTGTACCGACCATTAATGGGAACGATACATCTTAGCAGTTAATACTGTTTGATAGTAAAGGAGGTAGAATGCATGCCTCTACTGAAGCTAAGCTAATTATGCTCAAGAGTCATTGATAGTTTTGGAACGCTTTCAGTCTTCGTCTAATGGAGTAGATATTTGACTTAGGCGTGGATCACTGGGTCATCGAAACTGATGCAGCCTACTACTGTTGGTGTATTCGCTTTGGTTCTGTTTATGTATTCCCACATTGGGATACCCACATTTTATCTATTTGTTACTCGTATCTGAGACAACAAATTTGCCCCAACCAAACTTTTGTAGGAGAAGATCAGGAAATGTGAATAATGTCTTCCCTTTGAAGACTTCCCATTGATTTTATCTTTACGCTTATATTTGTGTGACAAAGTTCATCAAATGGACATTTTTCTGTTAAAAATTTAATATTCCTTAATTTCTTGCCGTCTGTGGTGAGCATCTTTCTTCGAGCAGTGTTTCAAATGCCTTACGAAGATTAAAACTGTTGATAAACTTTTAGGAGGCACTGATTCGTCAAATGATTGCTTGCTTTCACATTTATTTGTCTTTCATATTTCTAGTCTCGAGTTCGACGAAAGGAAGAGAGCGCAGCAGACTCCATTTCAGAAGCTGCTAAGATACTAGCTGACTCTTTCAGTGACTGGACTCGCGAAAGTTTACTATCTAATTCAAATGAATCGCATCGTTGCTGCAGCTGTACTTCAGCCACTTTGGCTAGAAATGAACGTAATGCTAACTGTCCCCGAATCTCATCCTCGTCATCTGAATACTTTGTTCCTTGCACAGTAAGCTTTTCTTCTTCTTCCCTGTTGTGCTAAACATTATCTCCCCCTTTCTAGGTCATTCCTGAAAGCAGTGATTTGGAAGCACTATGTAGGCTCTTTTCTTTTGTAATTAATGCTTCACATTCATTTTAGCCGACACTGCTCTTGCTCCCATGGGTCAATCGATTGAATTCAAAGTGTAAGGAAATTTGGCACGATTTTTCTCTTTCGTCATGTTTCCAATCCCAGATATGAGATAGAATCTGTCTACTACAATTGCATCGAGATTACGTATTTACCGTTATTCGTCAATCATGATGACAAATTTCCAGAATACTGAATGAGGGTTTGAGTTTATAGTTACCTATTATGGTTACATTTAACTCAGTTTGCATAAGTTGTAGGAGGAAGTTATTTAACTTAAGGAAGCTATTTTTTCGAGAAAAGAAATGCTTGAAATTTATGGGATAGGAAACAGCAAGACTGTGTCAAGATTTATTTTCTTGCTGTGCACTTAAGGCTACTAATTGGTATATTCCTATTTGATTGGCGAAGATTATTCGTTCAGGTGCCCCGAAGTGTGGATGTAATATAAAGTTCTGTTGCTATGGTTCGCTTTTAAATTCACGGGTTTGAAGCACACTCAGTGAGTGGGTTGGTCAATCAAATCACTTCTGCTTACCCATTTGTGCTTCTCACTAAGAAGGTTCGAAGGTACCATTCCTTTTTCCAAGTTAGGTGCTGGAATGCACTTGAAGGCCTTGAGAATCTCTCAGGCTAGTGCTTTAGTGCAATAGAATTTAATTCGAATTCCCCAATTTGCGTCTCCAACCATTCATCGTTGGACTGACATGTCCTTTTCCTTGCACAGAATCAACCCAGAGACTACTAATCGTACATCGACATCGTCTTCGGAATACTTTCTTCCTTTTAAAGCTGTAAGTCTATTAGTTCACATAAAATTAATCGCTTTTCCTGCCATATAGTCTTCACTTAAGAGGAAGTTGAATGAGAACGCTAATGGGACACAAGGTATGCACTTATATGTCCTCACTAATTCTTCTGCAGAGAGTGTCTTGAATGAAACTAACGCTGAAACTCGATCCGTGGTCATCTCTTCTAGCACAGTTGATGGTCAAAATCATTCTTCAACATCATCTTCAGAGTACTTAATTCCTGTAAAAGTACGTCATTTAAACTGGAAAATTTTAGATTCGTGCTTAAAAATGAATTCAATCGCCACAACGTTGCCCGCATTCTTAATGGCTGTTCTAGTACTTATCACGCTCCGTAGAATAGTCGAGCTGCGTATTCGAAGATTAATTACATAATCGGAAGCTCACCAATCGTAGGCATGATATTCATGCCATTTGATTTAATGAATAGAAACAGATCTAAATTAGTAGTTTCATAGTTCATATTACGTCGTTATTCCGAAAAATTTATTCAGGAGCGATTCGAGGTTTGAGAATAACTCTAATAGTTCTATTGGTAGTGATGGAAAATGAGCATTCTGAAGCATATAGGTATAGAGGAAAAGTCGCTGCTGGGAGAAGAGATTGGAACAAGAACCAGAAAGGACGCCTTTAGGGTTTAATTATTGTTGAAATTTATAACTCCCAAATGCGTAGGAACATTTTCTTCGATTGGACGTGTTAGGTATTGGGGCTCGAAATATTTCCTCTGCCCTCGTCAAGATCAAACCAGGGTCAGTATTACTTTCGGTCCATTTATAAATAGAGCATTTAAATCGTGGATTAGACACTTATTTCAAAGCCAATGTGTCCTAAACTGGTATCTACAAAGTTGCATCTTACTTTCGTGACTTCATCCGAGTCCGATTTACAAGAATACAGTTTCCTCCCATAAACTAGGTCAACTTTTTCATTTTAGAAATCTGCAATGAGAATGGCCAAGTCTGCTAATCGAGAAGCGGTCGGTAAGATTTTTCCCTAAATTTCACACTTAATTTGCTAGTATTTCATATGGTAAACCGAATGGCTTTGATTTTCTTAGCTAATATTAGCCTTTTGTTGTAGAGGTTAGTTTTAATGATGCACTTGACCTTTTTGTTGCGTATTAACCAAGTTGTTGGGCTTTAACTTTACTTTCTACTAAAAAACATGTGTGTGTGTGTGCTTTTCTCAAGTTATAGATGCTGTTGAAATGGAAAGTCAGCCGAAACCTGAAAGTAGCGCTGAATCTGTTATGTAAGTTGTTGTTTTATGCTTTCTGACTGAATTTCGTTAAACGGATTTAACATATCCCTTGGAAGTAGTTAAGGTATGTAATTGGAAATGTTGATAGCTACCTTTCACTGCCATAGATTTAGAAATGTTGGGTATTCTTTTTTATGCACGCAGTATTAATCGGTACACCCCAGTGATGTGTTTGACTAAGTCTAGCCACTTAGAGCTGTTGTCGAATTCGAGTTTCTTCTACTTTTCATTGAGACTTATCTTTCTATTTTTGGTCTAACCGACCTCTTTTTGTAATTTCAGCCGTTTACAACACCAAGGGGCTTCGGTCAATTTTGAAAAGCGTTCTGTGAGTAATCGAATACCTGTATTTTCTAGAATTTAAGCTTCCGTGTAACATTTATCATTTCAATTGGTTTCATTTCCATAGGAAGTTAACGACCCTTCAATTGATAGTAGTCAAGAGATACGAGGTAAGTATTTTCGATGACTCGTTTTAGTATTGAGGATTTCCCTTGGACTGAAAATGTTCACTTGATTTTCTTTATAGAGCCAGGAACAAACAGTCTACCTTCTCAAAATGAAGTGCAAATATCGGTTCCAAATACGTGAGTGTATATTCCATTTTTTGTCTTTATCCAGTTTGTTTTCTCGATTTTAACAAGCAGAAAAAACCTACCTACCGTTTCTGATTCCTTGAGAACTAGAATAGCGTCTTTGTGAAAATCAATTAGAGATCCTATAGGATGCAAGACTTGTGCAGTAGAATGTTCTAGTTCTCATTGAAGAGAGGTCTTCGAGGCGTCATAGAGATTTATTCTGCATTTTGATATTCTTTTCCAGTTGTGGTTTAGTTCTGAGGACTATGTTCATCGTTTACCTCTTTGAATTAGGAAAAATTCGCATACAAGTATGGAGTTGTGTGGCCAATTTCTTATTTTTAACTTGACAAGATTCACGAGTACCAATTGACAAAGGGGGTAGAGTGAAAGTTCGGTCATGAGGAGGAGAGGTACGTACTTTGGTTTTAGAGTTCTCTTTACACACCTTTATTGGCGTTTAGCCAATCGCGTTAGATCCGCCTTCTATAACCACTATTGTTAGCAGATTGGTAAGACCTAATATATTTTGGCCTACGAGTGTCCAGTAGGTAAACAACGTTCAATTATTACAAACTCTTTAGGGGGGGGGGGGGCATGGGTAGTAGGGTAGTTACAATCCAACCAGTGACGGTAGCAGTTAGTTTAATTGTGCCCGTGCTTTAGATACTTTAACTAAAGACAGGGTTAGGGTGGTTTCGATATTTCAATGCACTCATAGCTTTGTCGGCTTTTGAGATTGCCCTGGTGATAACGTCAAGTACACGGGGATGGTTAGTGGACTTTCCTTGGTCAATGTGTGCCCATTTGTTGCTTTTTTACTATCTAGTGGAATTTGATTTGTTTGCTTGTGAAATGTACATTGTCATAATGTTCGTCAGCGGTGTATCGACCAAAGTCACAGTTTCGAGTAGTTGTCAGGTTTATCCATCTTTGATGCACACCTAGTTCAAGACATTTGTAACATTGATAATGTTAAAATAGTTGGCAAATATTTATTCATTTATACCAAATGGCAGGCGTTTTGATAGTTATCATTAGGTCTTTAGTTGACTTAAGGCTTCACAGAGGGGAATGAATGTCAAAATGAAAAAGTCAAGAGGGGGGGGGGACAGAAGTGTGTTTCAAAGATGGAAAAGAAACAGACACAAAGGTAGAGTGAAGGTAAGATGAGTATCGTGAAAGTGGTCGATTATGACATACAGTGGGGTGATGGCAGTTTGAAGTGAGAAGTCAACTGCCAGTTAATAGACTTTTATGCCTAATGGGTATACGTTGCCCAGGGTGCACCACGTGGAGGTTAGTCTATCACACACCCCTAGTTGTCAAACATCATATTGAATGTCTTATGGAATGCTATTTCTTCGATTAACATGAGATGTCAGGGACTTGTCCTGCCATTGGAATAAGTCGTTTAGTTGTAATCTTAAAACATTTAAATTGTGTTATTTTTCAGACCTAAACCTTCTCTTCGGAGTATCCTTCGTAACCGAGGCGGGGTGAGTGTTTATTTCAATATTAATTATTGCATTTCATGCGAAAAATTGATTACTTTGAGATTTAATCAATTCAGAAATCCGCAAACTTGACTCCAGACGCTAATCAACAGCAAATGGGAGGAGGTAGGCTTTACTTTCTCGTTTCGCAGTTCTTTTTCTTTCCCAGATTCTTTGAACGCTTATAAATTGCGCACACCTCGTCAAGTCTCTTCCTCACGTGGGTAAGCGGCAACTTGACGACTTTTTCAGAAGCTTTGATATATATATATATATATATATATATATATAAAA